GCTCCATCTTTCATCTATTTTATATTTATTATTAAAATAATTATTTTTAGTTAAATGTTTAAATTATGACTAAATGTTTGGTTACTTTTTTAATTAAAAATCAAATATTTCAATTGTAATAATTAAAAATTAAACAATTTTATTTTTTATAATTAAGAATTAAGTTGACAAGTTAATAGACACGTAACGGAAAATTACGTGAGCCGTTAACATGACAAGTTGAAAAATATTATTGTTACTTTTTTGAGAAAAAATGATTTTTTTTATATTAAAAATCTTACTTTTTCATTTTCTTTTCAAATTCCATATCCTTCCCATCAAAATATACCAATTTCTTTTAAAGGAAAAAATGATTAAAGAATAACAAATTCCATTATGAATCAACCAACTTCAAGCATAGATCAGATTATGGAAACACATTGAAAATCCAAGGAAGCGTAGAAAATTTTCGAAAAACAGCAAAAACCTTTAGCCTAAGAAGTGATCAAGAAAGCGGATTCAAAGGGGAAAATATATCAAATGCATACTTGAGATATATTGAAAGAGAAAAAGTAGAGGAAATTTGGACAATGACTGATCGAGATACTAATTGAAAAATTCATCGAATGCGTCCCACAAGAAGAAAAAGGAGAAGAAGACCCCAAAAAAGCGAAGAAGACGAGCAAAAGATATAGAAATAAGAAAGAAATGTTAGAGGTGGAAGCTTGATTTGCAATATCACATGATTTTCACATGCTTTTTTTTTCTTATCTGATCAACGTGCTATCCATGTGTTCTTATTTCATTTTATTGTCTTGTTACTTGCTATTTTCCTTTGGCTGTAAGCCTCGGCAGTTGTAATGGCCATGCGGCCTATTTCCTTGTTTTTAGATAATGTATCAGATAAGTTGTATGGAGTCCACTTTAAAACCATTTTTGCTGGTGGTATTTTAAAACCAGTTGTTTGTTGAACCGTTGTGAATATGAATAAGATGTTTCCAGTTTTTTCTCTGAGGTCTCCTTCTTCATTTTGTTGTGGTTTTTACTCGGCTTTGTTGATGTTCAAGATTTATTTTCCTTAAAGTTAACATAGCTGAAGAGAGAAATGGATAAAAAATAACTCCAACAACAAGGAAGAAGAAGGAGGAGATAACACAAAAAAATGTTGTTAACGTTATGTTGAAAAATATAGTATTACATGTTATATTTTAAAATTTAGCTGTTATATGTCATGTTAGAAATGTGGTTGTTATACGTCATATTGAAAATTTAATTACTACATATCATGTTGAAAAATAAAATTGTTACACGTTATATTGAAAAATATTATATGTTATATTGAAAATTTAGTTGTTACATGATATGTTGAAAAATATAATTATTCTATATTATGTTGAAGATTTAGTTATTACACGTCATGTTAAAAAATTCAATTTTTAAATTTTATGATGAAAAAATTATTATACATCACGTCATAATTTAGATTATTTTGACTTGACAAAAAAACTTTCTAACAAAACTACCATTTTGTATTTTATATGACAAGTCAACGTCCACATAACACGTATATCCTATATGTGCCAAATACTTTTCATTTTAACCTTTAATAGTAATAAATTGAAAACGTTTGATCTTTAATTGTTACAATTGAAAATTTGATTCTAAATTGATAAAAACTTAAAAATTTTGATTCCAAATTAAACATGTAATCTTTTTTATATATATTACTATTTAAATATATTTCAAAATTAAAAGTAAGTAAAAATAAAAAGTAAAATATTTATTAATATAATAATATTTTCAAGTTAAGTCGAGCTCATACCTCAGAGTTTACTGATTCGAGTCGGGCTAACACATTTACATTCACAAACTGTAGAGATAATAAATAATAATGAATTTCTGAATATTTACTTTTTGATATAATAATAAAGGATCTGGTTAATATCGATATTTATAAGCATTGATTAAGGATAATTAAAATATTATTTTTATTAAATTAAAAAACTCATTAATTATAAATGCATGACCTTTTCTTTAAGTCGTCCATACAACAATCTCTCTAGCCTGAATGCATCGGGAGCGGGCAAACCACAAGCAACAATCCCTCTACTCAAATCTTACCAAGCTTCCTCGCCATTACCAACAAAAAGCTAACGTCTTAATGCGCCAACTCATTTTCCCTTTTAAAAGGGTTCATTTGGGGGATGTGACCCAGTTGACGATCGCCGACCAGAATGAATGTGCAGTAATTAAAAAGTGTGGCAGCATGCATGGAGGAAAGAACGCGCACCGGCTGACGCGGATCTTTAATTATTCACAGGGAAAGGGAGAGAGGAGAGAGCACATGCCCTTGAAAAGTCAAAGGGTTTGTGAACAGATAAACAGTGATTGCCGCATTTTGTTGGAGTCAACTCTTATCATGAACAACAATATGTTTACACTCTTCACCTGCGTTGCCTTTGGAAGTTGGATTTGTGCCCCTGCTCAGCAGCTGCCCTTCGCAACTTTGCACTTAAAAAGTTGTGAAGTTGACCTTTCTTCTTATCTAAGTCGCAACTCCCAATGAGAAAAACAGAATCTGACTTTCTTGTCGGTCAGATGGGATGGGTACACTAAATAAAAAATCACATGATAAGATCGATCAAGATAAACTGCTTTCTGATTCTCTCTGTTTCTTTTCTTTTTTCCCCGGGTAAAGAGGGAGGTCTGATAAACTTGAATATTCACCTACACCATGGTTGCCGTACCCCACATGAATTAAGTTATGAGCTAAACCATTGCCTACAGCCCTTGATCTCTTTCAACAATGAGAAAACATGGAAATAAGAAGACCAAAATCAATCAAACTTGGGTCCATACAACTTGCAAAGAGTCACTTTCCGGCAGCGCAAAGTGTAGCCAAGATCATGAACAAAAGAATAGTCGCTGGTTCCACATGAAGAGCGGACCTGTCAATGTAAGTGCTTTGCATGTAGACTGCGCAAGTAATCCATAGCGTTAGCACCCAAAATCCAAATGGTCTCGAACCAACACGTCCTTTTGTGTGGAGATGATTCAACATTCTCTCGTGCAGCTTTAATTATTTATGATGAATTAATTATGACATGAAATAGAATCAACTGTAAAGCCTAAATTCAACTGTTTTCATGCATGTTGTTATCTTTGGTTATGAAAAGACCAATGAGATATGGAAGTGTAGTGCATTATTATTATCATCATTTGTTGATGAAAGTTCATCAATTACTAATTTACTAACTATGCATGTGATGAAAAGGCTCATTACCGAAATACTAAATTTTATAAAGTCATGTTGATCACTTAGCTTATTCTAAGTGGGTAAAACTTAGGTGAATAAAAATCCTATTGTTCTTAAGCATGAGATTACGTTTGCCAAATGTATGATATACACAGATTACGAAGCTGTATCGGTACTTTAGACAGGCTATCCAGCTGGAGTCCAATTAGTTCAACAAAAGGGACAGTCAGCCTAAAGCCATTGCTTAAACCATGTATACGCTTTTCTTAGCCCTCAAGGACAGATGAACCCACGGAATCAGAGGACAAGAAACCTAATTAAGTAGGGGCACCAAGCCACGAAGCAGAGCCAATAAATATTGAAAGCTGTAAGTTATAGCATAGCATGGCGCTGTCGTTACCTGTAGAATTTAATTTGGAGTTTGTCCTGTCCCTGCGCAATGCAAGGCCAATATATATAGAGCTTTAAATTTTCACTCCAGCAAAAGAAAGGAAAACGCCCTTTGCTTTTCACATGCAGCTTATTTAATTTTGTACAGCGGTCGTACAGCTTTATATCATTATGCACTTTCTTCAACAAAAACCAAATACAAATTTTTGAGAGAAATATGAGCTACCATGGTGTGACCTAACGTCCTAACCAACAGCATTCACCTTTCCCCAGCCGCGTGTATTTAATCGTTTTTGACTAAGGCTTGGTTTACGTGAAGATTGTGAATTTAAATTAAAAAGAAAAGGAACATTAACGACTGCTTAGGATATTGTCGGCTAACATTTTTGCATGGGTCGGAATTGCACTTGCTCAGACTGAGATCCAAAAATTCTTAATCCAAGTTAACGGGCGACTGACCTAAACATTAAACATTAACAATTAATCAGAGTGATTAGTTAAGATGTTAATTTATATTAAAAGCATTTTGTTAACATTCCTGGTTCCATTGGATCGCCAAAGTCCCTGACCATTAAGGCTCAGTTCCTGGTATGGCAGGCCAGAACGATGGTCCGCTCGATCGACCAACATTTTTCGTATACTGAAATTTGCAACCTTACAATTTTCAGCAACCCATTACTTTGTAGAGTCACTGTCAAATTCTTCCTTGGACGATATACGGCCTGCACAAGAAAGCAGTCGAGGTAAGATATAGGTCCACAGCAGGCAGCTCTAAAATTCGCCATATATTTCCAATCAATGGTTTAGATGGTTTATTTGATTCTGATTTCTCAAGTGATTGACAAGCTCATGGTAGCTCCCAATTACTTCGAAGCAGACCAGTTCCAACCCCAGCGTCTATATCTACTCTCCGCTTCCTAATTCGATGGGCAAAACATTTATGGAAAAACGCCAATCAACACACTGAGTTAACAGCCAGCTGAAACATTTTACATCAACACTACAATAACGTAAGCTCATTTTATATTTTCACAATACACACAATAAGAACTTCTAAATGCAACATAACTAGTTCTGTAACAAACCCGTCCTTTTCATTTAAGTTGTCAACCACCCTTCTTTTTTTTTTTTCCATTGAAAGCGATCAGTCTTGAGCTGATCTTTAAAGGTATTAAGGCAATTCAAATTTATGGTCTTCGTCAGAGTGTCAGATCTATTATCTATGCACTTTCCAGTTTTTAATTACTACCATGGCTCTTTGTTTATAGACCATAATTTATGGTAGCTCTCACTAAGTTTTCATTTTTCTTTTCTTCCCTTACAGCCCTTCGCCCTAGTTTTCATTCTTCCATTGAAGCAACCGGAACGGAACTTCTGTTACAGAACCAAGTCGCTAGATTAAACCCATTACAGAGTCAAATGGAAGAAAAAAAAGTGGAAAAAAATGAAAAAGGAAGCAAAAATACAAAACTGAAGGCTGTTAAATGTAAATGAGAATGAGGACATCACTCCTTAAACTAATTATTAAAGAATGGAAATCATACATATTACGGATTCCAGCTAAATTTACTGTTAGACCTTGCAAAAAGATGCAAAAGCAAAAGCAGATACACTAGTAGGATCCCATGAATTCAACGGTAAGATCGAAGAATTGCTCCACAAAAAGTACATATAATTGCTCTCCAAGATTTCCAATAAAAAGGCACATAGCAAAACCTTGTAGAAGTTTTCATATCAGCTACACTAGCTCCCCCACCGCACCGCGAGCAAAACCCCGCCGCCGGTTTACTTCTGCTCACTTTCCTTGTCTGATCAACGAGAAAGCAGAAACACACCATGATTTTTGTTTCTTTTTTCTAGCTTTTCCGACCGACGTTTTCTGGAGTGCTGATTTGCTAGACAGCAAGCCAAGGCTGCGAATCTCGGTGCCTTATGAATATCGGTTAGATGAACTCTAGCAGCTTGTTGTTGAGAGAAAAGGTTAAAGGCAGTCATACATATATATATATATACACACACACACATGTGCACGAGAGGGAGATTTAAAAGCCGAGCAACTTGAGGTTGCCTCGCTTTGGAATCTGACCATTTCATTCACGAAGAATGGGGGGTGAGTAACTCTATGTTTAAGTGTCAAACGATAGCCATGTGGGTTTCCGACACGTGTAGAGTAGCTGGATCTAGGCCGTACACGTATAGAGAAGGAAGCAATTGGGAGAAGTCGTTGCAATTACTTGGGCCAGCAAAAAGTCGAGCCTGTTTGGTTGAATTGGCAACGGATGTTGTCGCTGTTGATTTAGGACGCAGTCCTCGCAAGTGTTTGTTTGCAAAGGTATTTGAGCATGCGAAGAAAAAGTTTGGAAAATCAGTATTAGCAGCTAAGTAGTGGCATATGCTGTGTCTCCGGGTTGTGACCAGATTCAGCCAAACATTACATGCATTAAATTATCGAAAGCGATTAGATTAATTATTTCATTTTTATTTTAAAAAATGAGAATATTTTTTATTAAGATATAATGATTTACCTTTTTTAATATGTACATAAGAAACTTCCTCTCAAAATTAAAATATACAATTTTTACATACCAAATTTTTAATCCTTCAAAAAAAAATTTTAACCAACTCAAAAGATACTACATATATTTCCTCTCATTTGGTTTACTTCAGTTAAGTATATGATCTTGTTTAGATAGCAAATTCATTATTATATGTTTTCCATTCAAAGAATTTCCATCTAATTTAAAAGGTTAAAAGATAATTTATCAAAAATAAATATAATTTTATTATTCATTTATTTACTTTATTTTCGAAAAGCTGAAGCAATGTTTCATTAACATAGAGACTTTGCAAAACACTACCAGATTGCGGCAGGTACTGGTCATTTGTTTATTGATTTGATTCAATGTAACTTATTTAAGAAATAAAATATGAATATTTCATAAATCACATGTTAATAAAGGGTGGTGCTATTGGCACTCTTAACTGTCTATTAACAGTCTCCTTTAACAATTTATAATCGTAATTTTCTAAATTACACTCAAATAATTTTTTATTCAAGTCAAATTTTAATTAATTATAATACTGTTTATCTATTCACACTCTTAGTTAATCTCAATTATTCCCACCTTTTGCTTACGTATTATATTCCTTGTGACTCTTTATTGCTTTTTTTTTCAGTTTAATTCATTAATTTTAGATGAATCTAACAATGAAGCACCAATCAATTGATGATGAAAACAAGAACTTCAATGAAATATCTTGCCGTAATGGCAAAAATAATTAAAAAAGCTTAGAATTAGAGTTAAATTCTTATCTTGGCATACTTTCTTCTAGTATGTTCTTTTTTTCTTTGTTTAAATATTTTTTTTATTTTAGAAATTCTATTCAACATAAACATTTTTTTTCAAATTTATTTATCTAAATAGCTGGTTTGTATTTGTTTTAGTTGAGAAGTACAAAGTTTAAGTTGAGTAGAAAATTGATGGAATAAAGAGAGAGTAAATAAAGAAGATTATTGAGAATCCTTAAATAAAGAAAATTGACCCAGATTATGTGTGATAAGATTGTCAAATGAGAAATAAGTAGGAGTTAAATTCTTATCTTGGCATGCTTTCTTTTTTTTATGTTCTTTTTTTCTTTGTTTAAATAATTTTTTATTTTTTTATTTTAAAAATTTTGCTCAACATAGACTTTTTTTCAAATTTATTTGTCGAAATAATTGTTTTGTATTTGTTTTAGTTGAGATTAAAAAAAAAAAAGAACATACCAGAAGAAAGGATGTTTAGATAAGAATTTAACTCCAATGTTAAGATATTTTCGACATCAGGGCAAAAGATTTTATTGAACTTTATGTTTTCATCATCAATTTATTGCTACTCCATTGTTAGATTCATCTATAATTAATGAATTGAACCTACCGAGAAGAAAGAAAGCAATGAAAGCCACAAGAAATATAAGAAGTTATGGAGAGTTAAAGGGTGTGTAAACAAAAGGTGAGAGTAATTGAGAGTAATGAGGAGGATGAATAGATAAATAGTAATATAATTAATTAAAATTTGACTTGAATAAAAAGTTATTTAAGTGAGGCTAATTTAGAAAATTATAATTATAAGTTGTTAATGGGAAGTGTTAATAGACAATTAGGACCACTAATAGCCCCAGCTGTTAATAAAATATTAAAATTATTAATTTATTAACATGTTAAAACATGGTTATTTTTATTTTTGGTACGAAGTGATATTTGATTTTTATGTGCATGATGATTTCTAATCTTGATTGATTACTAATAACTAAATAAAAAGATCTCAAATCATCAATGATAATATTATTGTAATAAGAAGATCACACCATGATTGGATCACTGTTTTGATATTGACAAGAATACCAACCTTACCTAACGGTGCAAATATGGGACACGTAGGCATATGCCTTAGCTCCATTTGGAAATGGGAACGCAAATCCCAACCATTAACTAACTAAAAGAAGACAAAGGGAAAATCAAAATTTTTCGAAGGGAAAATCAAATCTTGGGTAGGTGTCTGGTAGTACTTGCTAATTTTTAGTTAGTGATTTTTTTTCCATTTATCGTCAAATTTGAGATAAAGAAAAGAATACAGCCTTTTTAGAAAGATAATGAGGATTGAAAATTTAAACTTCCAATCTCCTTCTTTGTATAAATTATATGTTTTTAAAACAATTTTTTACCATCCTTTTCTTTCTCATATTGGTCCTTGACAAAATTATTATTATTATTAGTAGTAGTAGTACTTTTACTCTTGACTTTATATATTGTGTGTTTTTCTGTAGAAACATAAACGCAATTTTAAAATATGAATTAATTTCGTTGAATATCCGAGGAAACAATTGTTTGGCAAAAAGATTCTTATGAGCTAAGGAAAAGATCGATCATGTTATGCTACAGTAGTAATTGTTGCATGTGCTGGCCAGTTTTCCGTTGTTAGATATACATCATTCAAACTAAAATGGACATGATGATAAATGAACGAGGCCAGACATCAAAGTACCAAGTGCCACACCTAAAAATGGATTATCAACAATCAACATTCAACCATGTGAATGTGATAGCTCTATTATTGCATCCAGGATATTAATTAGTGATAAAGCGTTAGGCAGGTGGCATGGCAGGATATCTCTAGAAACATATTCTTCTTATCTTCTTCAATGGCGGCACAATTTTGTGATTTTGGTGTGAAAAGGGCACATGAGAAAAGGAAAAAAAAAGAAAGATTGCGGTGCTTAAATCAAGTAGACAAGCCATGTGTTTCATGAGCTGTTCATTTATTATAAATTTTCTAAGCCAAGTCCTAACCAAACTTCTGCTTAACTTAATTTTCATGTGAATCATCACCCATGACTTTGAAGACTCCGCTTTAACAAACCCATGCTCTACTGTCCCAATCAAATTTGGCCTCTTAATGCCACAATTAGATGGCTTAACAACTATTATATATCACTTTAAACTGGTTTATAAAATTACGCATGTCTTCCTTCTTGATATAAATTTTTATTTTTTTTAAAGGACTCAAATTTGTAATTTTTCTTTTTATTAAACACATGCAACTCTTTATATAAATGATATACATTTATATTTCATATTAATTTTAATTATTATATTCGTTAACTTCTTTTACATTAGAATCTACATATATATATATATATATATTTATATATCATTGATATTGTAAATTTTACTTTTAAATTTTAATATTGAAAATCTTAAAGTTAAAGCATTAACTTTGAAATGTCAAATCAACATTGGAAACAAGATTGAAATGTAGAAAGTAATTTTGTTTTTCATGATGAACCAGATATGAGGGTGCACAACGCTTATCGAAGGGAAAAACAATTCAAACATAAAATTAGGATTCAGTTAACTTATCAATCAGGATTATGCTGCCAATGGCATCATCCCCTTCTGATAATGTCATCATTGCTTCTACTATTTCTTCCAAACCCACCATCTTTTCCAATTACCGGACTCCTCTTACCAAGATCAATTATGTTGCTCATCTTCGCGTTAAACTATCTCCTATCAGTTTTCCCCCTTGAAGAACTCAATTCAAGTCACTCCTTCTGGGCTATAATAACCTTTTAGGCTGTTAATGGCTCGATCCCTTTTGTACCTTCAATGATAAAAGAAAAGGAGAAGAAAGTGATAGAATTTGGGATTAGAAAATCAAGAAATTGGCTTCAAGATGTCTAACAATATTATTTTTCTTAAAGTTGTATTCGTCTTCACTTGTAGTGTGAAAAGAGTTACCGGTATATAAATCTTAAAGATACAATGAAGTCTAGTGATTGACGCTATTTTGCACTGATGTAATCAATCCATTGAGCACTTACCGGAGTATGACAAGATTATCAAACTTCTATAAAAAATTTTTTACAATAAAATGATATAGAAGAAAACTTGGAGAATATGGAGAAAGAAAGAGAGATTGTTGTTCTGTTGGTTTCTGTTATGTGTTTTGTTGTTCAAATGAGAGTCCTTTTTATAGGCCTAGGTGCCTATTCTTAATAGACATAAATGTGTTTGTTTCAACCAGTTTGTTGATTTTTTCCAACAGACATGACTTTTCATTTATTTTTAATTTCCAACAAACATGATTTTTCCAATATGGGATTGTGTCTTATATTTATTTATTTGAAAATTTCCAACAATCCTCCATCATTTTCAAATTGATTCAAATTTTCGATAATCTTAGAAATTGATTTTATAAATAAAGGTGTCGTTCGATTGAATCTTTACTTAGTGAAAACAAGTTAAAGTTAATCAAAATTGCATAGTAGACCATGCTTTGAACCGGCTATTTCATTTGGTTAACTAAACACATTTTACACAATAATTTTAACATTAATGAATGCACAATATCTGGTGATGCTTTTATGGCCATGCATCTGTATCCTTTTTTCATGAGTGTTGTTAGAGCTAAGTTTTTTAGGTCCTAGAGGTGGCCACACTTCATACTCACATAAGTAGATCCCATCAAGAACGCCCACATAACTAAAACATTCTAACAAATTTATGTTTTGGTTTTATTAAAAGTATATAGCTCGTCTTTTCCTTACCATTACAAGTACCTAACACTTTACTTAGGATGAAAAATAACATATCATATTATAGTGCTAGCAGCCACATATAGATGGTGTATTTTGTCTCATTCAACTCAAGACTTGACATTATATCAAGTGTTGAGTCAAGTTTCCACGATGGGTAACTTTGAATTTATGAGCTTGATCCCCATCCCTTTTAAGATC